GTGCATCATAGCTTGTGCAATCACTATATCAGTTTCATTACAATACTAACACATGAGGTGTAAACTTTAATGATTGTATAATTAATTAATTTCAATTAATCAATTAGCCTTGTGGTGGAGGGTGGGGTAGGGTGGTGAAGGCACCTGTGTGCACTATGCAAAATGTGTCATACTTACGTTACTTTCTTGACAACATCACAAAATTATATATGTTTCTGCAAATCTCTTGCTATCCTTGTGGAGCTATTCTCTTCAGAACAAAAGCAATTTGCTTGAAACACATGGGCAGATTAGTTAGCATCAGTGCTGAATGCGTGTTAGGTGAGAGGTACATTTCATACGGAATTACACACGATTGTTAAGTGCTTTTCCTTGTGGTAGAACACAACATGTTAGATGCATTCATTCTAGCATCGCTGGTGTGATAAACGCTGTTCTCGATGTATCACACTCTTGCTTTGACCAAGGATAGCAGTTACATTTCAGGTAACATCAGTTTTCCCTTTTTTAGTGCAAAGAACAATACTGTGACTGCATATCTTCTGGAAACACCTCTAGCTCGATTAAAGAAATGTCATCTGCTGTTTTAAAACTATTGTGTGTTTGCCAAGGTTCAAATAAAGAATGGAAACGTACTGCTTCTCCTTAGCAGCTTGTTTATTTCCTCTTCTATGAAAGAGAGCAAAAAGTTCATATTCAGCCGAAACTTTCCCATGTTAGTTACATGTAAAACTAGTCAATTTGTGACAAAAGAAACTTCGCAACTATTGCTGCAGACTCCGTGGCACTTACTGAAACCACCAATTAATTTCATCAGTCTTTGAGGTGACTCGGTCAAGTAACAATCTTAACCTTCAGTACTTCTCATTGAAACTCCCCTCAGTAATATTAATCGATAGTGCTGTGCATTAGTTTGACGTGGTGTTATGGTTAACACCAAAGGTGGCAATGAAACAAGAATGTGCCATCCTGTGACTTGATGTGACTATTTAATAATTAGATAAGTTCTTGTTTATCGGTGAAATGAAAATTTGTGTTTTGAATTAAACCAAAAGGGTTCCTCTTCAATTTTTAATCAAAATTTTAACTTCAGTCAATTGATCAACATTTATCTCCAGCAGCAAGAAAAACAAAAATACGCATCTTTCTTATATTTTTGAGGAAACAATGGTATCATGTTGCATACCTTAGAGAAGAAAACAAAAGTACCAAGTTACAAATGCTGGCATGAAAAGTGAAATTTGCTACTTCTTCACATTATCTAATTTAGTAATGAACAAAACTCAATGTAAAACACCACAATAAAATTTAAAGCCCTCTTGACAAATGGTAATAGTAAGTTATTTTGGTCCTTGAAAGAAAATATAAACATGAAACATATACACTGCTGAGATTATGCCTTATCAAGTGTTTGTCTGCTCATATTCTGCAAAGGGGAAAAGGTCTAGTTGATTACCAAGGGAGACAATGGCAGGGGTGAGGACTACTGCACCAGACCCATAAATTACACTGCACTATCTGAGATTGTCTCACTAGTTTGATTGATGACCACTATTACACATTAACTAATAGAAAATGTTCGACCAGTTAAGTAAAATCATTCTATCAGTGCAGCTAGTTAATTTGCGAGTATGTAATATACATGTAGATGAGCAATTAATAATAATAATACTAATAATAATAATAATAATAACAACAAATATTTATATAGGATAGCCCTTCAGTGCAAGAGTACTGTAAATGTTTGAAGAAAATAAAATTATCATATATTTGAACTGCAGAAGAAAGATGCATGTACAGTGTGAGGTACAATACATGTATTGAGCTGATGTGGAGTGTTGTTAGGTTGTGGGTCAAGGTAATGTAATTACTACATACCTGGGTATAATCTTTTTAGCATCTGGCTGAGAATTTGAGGGACTATCAAAGAAGTCTGAAAATGATAAAAATAAATTGACACCCTTTCACAAGTATGTTCAGGAATATAAATGTATAATTAATTGCTACTATGTTAACTTAAGACAAGACAAGAAGATCTGTTAGATCTTATAACCGCGCTTTAAAAATGAAACGGTTCGCTTAGCACTACCGTCGGAACGCAGTGCACATTCCAAAGCAGTCGT